CTTACATGGTCTATGCAAATAACTCAATTTCTTGAGCTGCATGACAACTCTGCATAAACAGAAACTAACTACATAGGCTAGGATTGCCCAGCAAGAGGGCTAGAACATAGTTTACTTAATCAAGATGTATATATTATGGGATATAGCCACTGAACGAAGTTTCACTTGTATGACAGAGATGCACGGTATGTTTTAATACATGAATTAAGTGCACACAAATATCTTCTAGTTATCACCCAAACTGCATTCCTCCAAATATAGAAAATGCCTCCAAGTTTGGGCACTTACTCTGGTTCTCCAAGTTTGGGCACTTACTCTGGTTCTCTTTAGTTATTCCTGCTGGTGGTTTATGTAGACCCTTCCTGTATTAAAGACTTGGGATATGACCCTCAGTGAAGAGGAAGATAGAGAAAGCAAAGAGTGCTTGAAAGTCATTGTAATTCCCAGTTCCAAAGAGTTAACAATGACACAGCTTTTTTGATACCAAATGGCTTCAGTGTGAAAGGCAGCAACGATTTATGTTGTTATTACAGGGATTTATTTATTTTTCACTTAGGGGTTAATTAAGGAGCGTGCAAATGTAAAGGGCTGACAGTGCTTATCTGGAAATGGTAAAGTGCAGCGAGGAGCAGCACAAACTGCCCGTGAATAGCTTTCTGCCAACAGCAACTTTTCTGCTGCTTTTAGCTGAAGCTGCTCTTCAAGGGGAAGAAAGCTCAATGGCTCTGTCACAGATAATACATGTTGCCCGACCACTGCTCTTTTTCCCCATGTTTTATGAGTTTAGAATTTCATTTGCATTTGCTGTGTTTTCTGATGGGATGCGGAGAAAGTCCTGAAGGAAACACACCTTCAGTAGGAGTCATTTGGCAAAATGGAGATGAAATGAGGCTTGTGCAGAAGATGGCAGCCAATTTGATCAGGGTCTAGAACACTTTCTCTGGAAAAAGAGCTAGAAATTTGAGGAGTTTAACTTAGAATGGAAATAGGGACATGACTGAGGCATATAAAATCATGCATGCTTAGAATGCATAAATATTGAAAAGTTTTTCTCTCAAATTCTAGGCTGAGATATCATTCAAAATGATTGGAAGTGGGTTTAGAAGAGGCAACAGAAAGAAATGCTTCACACAATATATTTAATCTGTGGAATTTGTTACCACAAAGTGTAATGATAGCAACTTACTTCATGACTTAAACAGGGATAAGTTTCTGAAGGACAGGCCTATTGAGGACAATTGGGCTGGAAGACCCAATGTTACTTCTTAGTTACAGACAGCATAATACTTTGTGCAAGGAAACAGTGATGGGAGGCTGTTGATCACATAAGAAGCAAAAAGTTGGACCATGATAAATTTGGCCAGAACCAACAGAGCTATTTCTACAATCTTCTGCTTATAGGTTCTAGGTCAGAGGTACGAAAAATGAAAGAACTTTCCAAAAAGATGACTTTCTCTCTCCAGGAGAACTTTTCCAAACACTGAAAGTCAGGAATCTGAACTGACAGTGATTGAGCAAAATAGGCATGCTTGTCAAATGTCCAAGCCATGACGGTCTCTTAGCTAGCAGGTATTTAAAAGGGAGATCACTGTCTTGTTGAAGAGTTTATAAGACAGCAAGGGCTTCACCTGCATTTTCTACTTTCTCTATGAGAAATCTGTCTCCAACTTTATGAGCTGCCAGATATGAAAATCACTTCAGCCAAAGTGTTTTCCCCAATGAGGTGTCTAACATTTTGGAGGCCTCTTCTGTCTGCACTGTACTAACTTATTTATTTACAACATTTATAAGGTCTGTCTGATGCCAAAAAGAATCCGTGCAGTTTAAACAATGTCACACACACAAACAAAACATAGTTAAAAATATAACAAAACATAACTGCCTGGACAACAATAACATTAAAAAAAAACATGACTGGGGCTCCACATGCACCTTAACCCCAGCCTGAGAGCAGAGCCATGTCTTAAAGGACTTCTGGAACACTTGGAAAGGGAAGATAACAAGGTGATGATATGATCGGAGTAATAAATGAAAGTGTCTCTGAATCCTGCTTTTTTGCAACTATGTCCCTTTCTAAAATAGTTGCTTCTGGGATTCGAACTGCTCTCAGCCGGAATCCTGCAGTAGCAAAAGAAAGCTTGGCAGTTCAGTCTTAAAGGGTCACAAGCCATTCTGTGCTAGTTAGGCAGAAGGTCTGCCGTGAATAGCCAGACCAAATCATTTTTACTACATTGCAGCCTGCCAGATTGCTTTGCCTACCTTTTGTGTATTTCCCAATGATCCTCCTATCCCACTATATCTTAGCACTCCTGGGTTTTTCTTATTCTGTCTTTATTATTTAAAATAACTCCAGGTGGCAAACAAATCTAGCGCTCCTTCTTCCTCTTTTTTGCTCCACAAGAGTCCTGTGAGATGAATTGGGCTGAGAGACAATGATTGACCCAAAGTCACCAAGCCAGCTTTCATGTCTAAAGTGGGACTAGAAGTCACAGTGCCTTGGTTTCTAGATCAGCACTTTAACCACTAGACCAGGGATCTCCCCAACTTGTTGACTTTAAGGGTGGTGGACTTCAATTCTCAGAATTCCCCAGCCATTCTTAACATCGCCAAGTTTGGGGACCCCTGCACTAGACCAAGCTGGCTCACTTGTCCCACATCTGCATTAAGCACATTCTTCAGTCTATGAACTATGCTCTTATTCAATTCACCATGGGACAATTGTTAAAACTGCTGCCAATCAGATCACTTCTTTGGATTTAACTTAAGGACACAATGTGACCCCAAATTGGCATCAGTCTTATCAAGTAATTGGATTCCTGACAGTCTTTCCTTTTTTTGTTCTATTTATGCCACTCATCTATTCTGCATTCCAGATTCAGCAATTCACTCCTGGATCCTTTTGAACTAACTGGACTTTTGCAATAAAGACTTTAATACCACTGTTTGCAGTAAATACTGTCGGTCTTGAACAGAAAACTCCTACAGCTAGCCTTAATAAGACATGCCATCCTGACCTCCAGAAATGAATGTTGGGGGGGAACCCCAATAAGTTAATATATACAAAATAATGCAGTCAGTTTACCCTGTCGCTGACAATTGTGCAAGCTTTAACAGATTTTCTGTGACAATCACCAGCTGAACTCAATACAAAGCAATCAAAACAGACAAGAGAACTAGAAAAAAGAGCCAGCGTTTTAAAAGACACGAGAGTTCATTTTGAGCACTGGAAAAAAACCCAGAGACAAACACACATACAAAAAAACAATATGGGAGTATTTCTGCAGGGGAAGTACTATTTTGTGTTGAGGAAAATGCTTGTAACCTGCAGGGGGTGAAAAGAAGCAGAAAATGCATAACTCTTATGTATAACTGTGTCTTCTTTAATAGAAAACCACTAAGCAGGCCCCTAAGACTAATCAAACTACATTCTGCTGCCTTGCTTGAATGACAGCCAACAAAGGCCAATTGCCTGACATACCCCTTTGCCTAGGTCCTCCTGGATCACTTGCTCGATTTCCTGCCTGCTGCTCTGAGGAGCTTGGCTGTGCAAAATCTTGAGGGTGCGGGTATATTCCTCAGGCAAGAGGTAATCAAGAGCCCCCAGATGCTGTCCTACTTTGATGAAGGTACCTCGGTTGGCACAGCATAAATCTCGGAGACGTTCTGCAGAACGCAGATGCACCTGCAGAGAGAAGAGGGGGGGGGGTTTGAAAAAGTCAGAAACTTTGCTTGAAACCTTTTTTTTCCAAATTGTATAGTGCATCCTTCCATATATCCTCTTCCAAGTCGTTGAGATATAATAGTATAATCAGGAAGCTTCCTGAATTGGATCATTAGGATAGAAAGCACATTTCAGACAAAAAAAGCAGGCATCTCTCCCCACTAAAAGAATCCCAGGTCAATGTTCTTGTTTGCAATGTCTGCACTGCACCTGCATTAGCCCCAAAAATGAATCAGTAGGAGCTGACACCTACAGCATGTGCAGACTTTAAAATGTTTGATTAATCATGAGTGTTTCCAGGACTCCCTGATATATTCCTTAAGGCTATTCAAACATATGCCGCAAAAAGAAGTGGACGTAAGCTCCACCCCTCAAAATCTGATGCTTAACAGCTGTTCAGTTTCTGCTTGGGCCCTCTATTTTACATGCCTCTGTGAGCTTTCTTGGTATGGGCATGCCAAAGGGCAAGGTCACCACCAGGAATCTCTCAGAACAAGCAGTACGCTTTCATCATTAAAAACCCCAACCACCTGTAGTATGATTTAAGGAAGACAAAAAGAACCTGTTTTATACATTTTAACTCCTTGACTGGACTGTTTATCCCTTTCCTCTCGCTGAATAGCAGAGGTGCAAAAGGGCAAAGGCAAAAAAGACACCCTCCCCCTCAAAAAAAATGGAATGGAAAAGGTGCAGATGGAGGTAGAAAAAGGAAGGGATGAAGTCAGAGCAGCTGGGCAGTTTGTCACAGTACAAGGAGTTCAACTCATTACAGGGAAACAGTTTTTATGCAGCTTGGATAATTGTCCTCAACACTGTCTCCAGCAGAGGAGAAGGGAGGGAGGTGCAATCAGCAGCCAGCCAAAATAAGAGAGGACTATCTATAGCTTTCCAGAGTTAACCTGTATTCTAGGGGAAAAGAAAGGCAAGATGGGTGTATTTGAGAAGAAAAAAGGCCATCTTATCCCCAATTCTTTATATTCTTAATAGCTCATGTTACTAAGCAAAAATATATATTCCTTGTAGCTCTACAATATATACATGAAGGCGAGGCTGCTCGGAACATGCAGTACTTGCCCATATACATTTAAACATGCTAATTTGTTTTCTAAAAACGCTGCCTCAAAAACATTTTTGATAGCCACTTATTAGGAAACATCAAGGAAATCACAACCTACAGCATTGCAAAGACATAGTAAAATACTACCAGCCAACAACTCTTGTCTAATTAGAGACAAAGGAATACATGCATACTAGTCCCGTAAGTATCCTAGGTTGAACAATAATGATCAGTAATGTGTTTAGAAGAGGCACATTGATTTCTTAAATGCTGAGACAGAAGGAGAAACCGTAGAACACTTGAGAGATTGTTTCAAAAGATGGTGTGTGGAAATGTTTTTGATCCCTGAAGGTCGCTGCATTTGCAAGTGTTGGCTGTAAAAATCAAAATGTGTGCATAATTACAGGTAGTGTGCCAATTGTGACCTGCTTCTGATTTCAGCAATGATTATTCACCCCACATCTTGATTACTGCAGTACATTTCTCACGCACTTGGTGCAAACGATGACACCTGGCATGTTCAGAATGCAAGGGATAGGGATCATATGTTGCCTGTTATTAAAGATCTACATTGGCTGCCATTTGCTTACTGGCCACAGTTTAAAGTGCTTCTGTTGACTTTTGAAGTCCTAAATGGCTTAAAGCCCAATTATCTAAGGAACTGCCTTTACCACTATGAAGCTCTCTAATTCCTCAGATTAGCAGAGATCTTTTTGAACACATCTCTGCCAGATGGCCTACTTTTTGGATAGACAGGAGGGTGTCTTCTCCTGTATATCTCCCGGGCTATGGAATATCTCCCCAAGAAAGTACAGTACCGTATTTTCACGACCAAAAGCCGCACCGGATTAAAAGCCGCAGTATCAATTAACGTTAATT